GGAAAATTATAAAATTATTTCCTAAATATGGTGAGCATAGCTTATGAGGTTTGGAAAGAGTTGTCATATCTTTAGGCCCTCTTATAACAACGAAATTAGTGGCTTACAAGGGGTTGTCTATTAGCATCAAGGTACTTCAAAGCATCATTTGGTCAACAAAGTTGGAGTGTTTTATGTGACGAGGGAATGGAAAATATTCACATTTCTGAAATAGAAAAGTGCTCCTTCTTTTCTCAAATGAAATAAATGTTTGCACAACAACCACTTTTTTGACACAGAGGACATTTTAGATGATGAAATAGCTTATCCTAAAAATGATCAATTAAATAAATAGTAAATTCAAATATTCAAAATGTCATTTAGGGTCAAATATGATTAAATTTTATGTCAAGGAAAGTTATTTTATTAACATTGTTAGTAAGTATGTTTACTATGCTTTTGAAGTCAACCATGGTATTCCTCTTCTATGTTCTCATGATGTGAATTTATAAGAGTCTTTGTTGGATTTTTTCTTTATAATTTGAATGATAATGCCCATTCGCATGGGTGTTATCAATTAGTTGTCCATAACTTTCATTTTTATTGTCTCATTCACTCATTTAAAGCTTTGACAAATAGATCATATATTCTTTCAATTGCAATGCCAATGTCTTTATGCTTAATCATAAAAATAAACTAAATAATAGCAATGATTCCCCTTCTTTCCCATATATCTTGTAAATGCCCTCATTACCTCTTAAGTTGCAGTAAAGTTCTAAACTTGTATGTAAGTAAATTTTCATCAACTTGCATGTGAGTAAATTTAGTCCTTTTTTTCTTTCAATTTCAGCATTCAATGTATATCATCATATCAGATTATGTTGTTCTAAACTCAAATCCTTAGAAGATTAGATTCAATATTCATCATATCAGGTTCCTTAAAAATAAGATTGTAAAAAGATAATAATTTTATGGTGTTATAATGTTTATTCTCTCATTATTTGTGTGTAAGACCTTGCATGACAAGGTTAGATTCAAGATAAGAAAAAGAAAAAGAAAAGCAATATGATGAAATGATTCTCCTAGGTTTTATGAAACTTTTGTGGTAATCTTTCAATCTGCACGTAATCATGGAATCCTTGTTGCTAGGGGCCTTTGGTATTGAAAAGGCTCAAATAGAGTTGATAATTTTAGATTTGGGAGTCAAGAATCACACTTCTTTGACCTTTGGGATTATATTGAAAACATGAGAACTCCTTTTAGCTGAAATAAGGAGTCCTATACTAGGACATGGATTAGCCCATTCTGTTATTGTTTGTGGAGAGCTTATGGTCAAGATTTGTTTACTTAGTTTATTCAATTTTCAATATTTATATGAGTTTTGTACTGATCCTTTCTTATTTTGAATATATTAAGACATTGAAATGTTACCAATACTAAAAAGTTAAATGGCCAGATGAGGAGAGTCTTTTTCTCCAACATTCCTTGTTTATGCCTCAAAGTTGATTGATACCCCAAAAAAATTTAATTGATGATGTTACAATGTTAACCCAAGTTACAAATCAGGTTTCTCCTTGGGCTCTGCTAATATAACTTACTTTTTCTAATATACACAATGGAACTCTACAATCAACCAAAAGATGAATGAAATATTGATTTTCTTCAATAATCAGAATTTCAATATTTTATTTTTCAGTTTCATGCTTTTTTTGACATTTTATTTTTTTCAAAGGATGTATCAGATTTAAAATATCTTATCATGCTAAAGGAAATATCAAATATTTTTTTGTGATGAATCTAAGGTTGATCATATTCAAATAATTGAAGAGACCACTTTTTTTAATGCAACATCTCACTAGCTCAACAAAAGAACTTTGCTTCGAAGAAAGTTGACCAATCCAGACTAAGTTTCTAAGTGAGAACCTTCAAAAATAGAGTTTGGTAAGATGGTTGTGGTTTGTCATAGTTAAATAAGATTAATAGTCTTAAAATACAAATGAAGTAAATGATTGTTGTTACATTTAATAACATTTAATTTGAAAGAGTACTAAGTTTACTTGGTCATGTCGTGAAATTCTTCTTTGCAGTATTGTTGACATTGGTCCATGGAAGGATATTGTTGTGCCCCCACATGGTGATTATTTATCCACATCCATTGATCTTGTGACCAAAGCCCATGCTAATAATCCATAGGTAGGTTTGTTTGGAACCAATAATGAGAAGATATGCATATGTTTTTTGTTTTTCTCTAAAATGAGGTGATTGGACAAGTAGATTTTTTTGGTGTTATTTTGTTGTATTCTAAATTGTCATATGTTAGAATAGTTAAACATTGGAGAAAGAAAAATCAAATTTTGTGATTATACAGATGACTATTTCCTTATTGGCAACTAATCAAGTTAGATGGTATAGTCCCTGGTGATTTATCATAGCTCACATGTAGTACTTAATTTCTGCTGTGATGAAAAAACTCAAAACTTGTATGCTCCAGTTGGTATTATCTATGTTATCAATTTGTGATGCTCGACCTGTTGTTACCTGTTGACTTCTGATCAAAACTTTTCAAGAAACATCTCATGTTGGATGGTATCAGGAAAAAAGTCCACTTTTAGGACTAGAAAGGTAAAACCATGGTTTCAATATTTGCACTATAACTACTTTTTGTTAGAAATTAAAGTGTCATAAGTAAACATGTATATGACTCTGATTGTTATAATTAAACTATTTCCTATCAGTAGAATGCCGTTAAATGTATGCCATTCATCCAAACCTCAATGACTCGTGCCGGTTTTATTTCCTAGCGTCCTATCCATTTCTTGGCTTAGTTTTTTATATTATTATTTATTTTTATTAATTATTTTCTTATTGTGCAACAATAGTTGAAGTTATTAAAAATGTTATTTAAAAATTGTCTTTTTTTATCATATTATCTCAAATATCGAAAAAAGATCTTACTAATTGGGTATCGTGGCTGAATCAAGATGTTTATCCTTTTCCTCTTTTGTTGGTCTGAGTTGACTTCATGATTGGTTGTTGACGACGTGTACGAGTAAGTCTGTCTTCATCTCTTTCTATGGCTACGCACGAGACGCTTTTTCTTGGCTTCCCGCTTTGACTCGCCTTCTTCAATTTGACTTGTAATTAGATCCGAGCACAGTCTTCATGATGAGAGAGAAGTAGTGCGCCTGATTAGTGAACCCTAGTGGATCTTTCGCAGGTGTACCCCTACACGTACAGGAACGAGAACCAGTTCCTGCACTTTCACTTCCATCAGGACCTGTACGCGGAATACGAGTTCTTGATGAACTAGATGGGCAACACGGCTGGTTCACGGACTCCATCGGCAGCCTCCACAGGTACCAGAAGTGGGCCTCTCCCGCCGCTGCCGCCGCCGCGGCGCCCAACGCCAGCGCCGCCGATCGGCTGCTCCACAGGATCTCGCTCTTGATCGGCGCCTATCGCAGGAAGTAACCATTTTATTCATTCCCCCCCATTCCGTCCTTTCTTCCCGTGGAATTTCGTTTGAGTGATCTTATTCTTAGGAGGCGTCCATTTGCCTGCGATTCAATGCGCGCACACCCGACAATTTTATGGGTCGTAAAAGACTACTACTCGCCAGGGCTTCTTTCAGTATCTCTCTCTCTCTCTCTCTCTCGATCTCGATCTCGATCTCGATCTCGATCTCTGGGAGAGGGCTTCAATGGAAGTTTAGTCAGGTATGCGTGGTCTGGGGGAGAAATTCATTCTTGAATGCGTCTGGACGCAGCTCATATCTCTCACTCTAACTTCCGCTGGATTTTGTGGAGCTTGCAAACCAAGGTTATGTTAATCCGGGTTGCAACGCGCCAACAGAAGTAGCTAATTGGATCAGGGTGGAAAACCATATAATGTTTCTTCTCCTACCCATCAAGCTAAACCTACCTCTGTAGACCGATTCTATTATTATTATAGATAAAGAAATTCCTAGATCCCCAATATCACAAACACTAACGAAATAAATAAATAAATAAATCAGATTAATATGGTCATAATAGATTAATTCAGAACAGCCCTGCATGTAGCGACAGTCTAAGGAAAATTCGATTTCAAGTTCTATGAAACTAAGAGATTTACCTGGGCGAAGATGAGAGGGAAAACTGAGAGCTAGTCAACAAGAAGATTGGAAAGCATTATGCAGTAACAGATGGCAAAGAGGGGACTGTGATTCATAACCTATCAGGAGACCGGTTGATAATCATCTTGAAGCTGTCTGACAAGTATTCAAGTTTCAACTGTCATCATCGGTTATGCCCAGAACTTTTGGTTGACCACATGCTATCATAGCACAAGAGTCTTTTTCAATCAGCTTGACTAACACGAGTCCTTCCACGAGGGTGATGGGGAGTTCTCTCACAGGTAACATTCTTCCATTCCAATAAAAAAAATATCAATAAGAAAAAGTCAACGAAGAGAGCAAAAAAAGCATCCGGACGTAAGTGTTCGGATGATTATACAACCTCTGGTTCGGGCACTTGTGACCATTAGTGCTCATCGACGGCCTATCAAGCAATAGGTTATGTATATTCGATCTCGTTCCCTACACCTACTGTAATCAAATGTGGCGTAAGAAAATAGAGCATGAAGATATAACCAAGGGATTGGCGATCCACGTGAGAGTCGCGTTTCTCACCGAATGCCGTATAACCATCATCGTGAATTCCCCGTTAGGTTTTCCATCTCTTCGTTGGAGTCCGGTGTTTATAGGAGGGGAGAAAGGTTCCAGTACCACGAGGGACAGTTCAAAGCACGTCAAAATTTCGTCATCGATCTCGCGCCGATCTTCGCTTCCATGCAGGACGAGCCCGAGCTCTGCGGCAGAGGCTCCCGAAGAACACGGGATTGAAAAACAAAAGGTCCTTCGAATGGTGAATATACATTTGATTGATTAGCTCTCGCCGAAAAATGGGAGGAGAGAGAACCACCATACCACCACAGAAGACAGTCGAGAGAGAAAGAGAGAGACAATAGAGAGAGGTCAGAGGCTAGGACACACAGGGTGGTGGCGACGGTGGTGGTGGTGGTGGTGGTGGTTGGGGGGGGCGGAGCTGCTTGAGCCGCTGAACGACCTGCTTCATGGTGGGGCGGATGGACATGGAATCGAGAGTACACATGACGCCCAGATGCAGAGTCTCCACCAGGTCGTCGTGTGGGGCGGTGTCCCAGAGGCCATCGGCGAAGAACTCCCTGGCCTTTCCCCGCTGCAGGAGCATCGACCCCCACGCGACGATGTTGAACCCGTTCCCGTACTGCGAGAAAGACGGGTCCAGCGCCTTCTTGTCCGAGAGCAGTTCCAGCAGCACCACGCCGTAGCTGTACACGTCCGCCTTGTCGGAGACCCTGCAGGTCATGGCGTATTCCGGGGCCACGTACCCGAAGGTCCCCGCCACGCCGGTGGTGGCGTGCGTCTCCGAGCTCCCCAGCAGCCTCGCCAGCCCGAAATCCGAGAGGTACGCGTTGAGTTCCTTGTCCAGTAGGATGTTGCTGGGCTTCACGTCCCTGTGGAGGATCCTCGGGGAGCAGTCGTCATGGAGGTAGGTCAGCGCCTGCGCCACGTCAAGCGCGATGCGGTGGAGGCGCCACCAGTCCGCCGCGGTGTTCCGCCTCGCTTGGATGAACCTCTCGAGGTTGCCGCCGGGGAGGAAGTTGTAGATGAGGAACATCTCGGCCTCACTGACGTGAAATCCGATGAGGGTGACCAGGTTTGGGTGGCGCCACCGGCCGAGGGTCTTGATCTCGGCGTGGAATTGCTGCACCCCCTGGAAGCGGCCGATGGAGAGCCGCTTTATCGCCACCACCACGCCGGGGGAGATCTCGGCCTTGTAGGTGGCGCCGAAGCCGCCGCTGCCGATGCAGTTGCTCGCGTTGAAGCCCCCCGTGGCGCGGACCACCCGCTCGTAGGTCAGCGGCACACCGATGTCGGTGAATAGGGTCAGCTCCCGGTTTCCGAAAGAGCCGGCGGCGGCGGCGGCCGCGCGAGGGGCGGCGCAGTTCCTCGTGTACACGTAGAGGACGATCAAACCCAGCAGGACGGCAACGATGGCGGCGGCGGAGACCACCGAGGCGATCTCGATGGAGCTCAGGAACCTCCTGCTCTTCTCCGGCGAGCCCTCCGGTGGCGTGCTGTTATACAGCTGGGGGCTTCCGAGAGCGACTCTCCGTACGTTCAGAGGTGCCGCCATGAAAGCACTGTACGCCTGCTCCTTCTGTTGCCCTGGAACTATCGGCAATGACGGCGGCGGCTCCGTCGATCTTTGAAGCACTGTAAATTGATCGGATCTGGAGGAGGACAACGACGATGCGACGAACGAACAGTATGCAGATGAGAGATGACGATCGTCCACGGCGAGGAACTTGGTGGAAGAACAGAGGAAGTTGGAGGAGAATCTGGGAACAGGGCCGCCTGAGAGTCTATTCCCACCGACATCGAAAACGTTCATGGAGTGCACGGGGAGTCCCTCCTTCAACCTTCCCGTCAAGAAATTCGAGCTCAGGTTCAGGTACTTGAGATTCTTGCACCGCTCGAGCCCCGCCGGAATATTCCCTGTGAAAAGATTCTGAGCTAGATTGAGAACTTGCAGCCTCTCACAGGCGCCCCAGTGGCTCGGAATCCTGCCTTTCAGCTTGGACCTTGGAGCCCACAGAACCCTAAGCATCGACAGGCCGGTGACGCTCTCCGGAAGCCCACCTCCGAAATGGTTGGACTCATTGCCATGGCAGCCACCGCCGCCGACGCCGATTGGGCGGTAAGCGTTTGACAGAACAAGAACAGATAGCTCGATGCAATTGCCGAGTTCTTTCGGAACAGGGCCGCTCAACCTATTCATGGACACATCCAAGATCTGAAGCCTTGTGAGCCGCCCAATCTCTGGGGGAAGGAGCCCTCCGAGAAGATTGGAGAACAAGAGGAGAGATCGCAGTTCACCGCAATTCCCAAGACTGGCAGGAATCTCGCCGACCAGAAGATTCCCCGAAAGATCAAGGTGCTCGAGGCTTCGACATCCTTTTCCGATCTCGCCAGGAACAGAACCGCGCAGCCGGTTGAAGGAGAGAGAAAGCACCCTGAGCTTCGGGAGATGGGTGAAGAAGGGAGGAACCGCGCCATTGATGTGGTTGCCCGACAGGTCCACCATCTCCAAATTCAAGCACCTGGAGAGGGAAGACGGTACCTCGCCGCGGATCCGGTTTAAGGCCAAGTTCAGCACCCGCAGGCCCTCCGGTAACCTCGAAGGGAGGACGCCGGAGATGGAGTTCCCCTGCAGATCAAGCACCTCCAGGTTCTGCAACCCCCAGATTTCACCAGGAATCTCTCCGTCGAAGCTGTGGCACGGGAGAGCAAGCATCTTGAGCTCCGATAGTCGACCGACAGCAGGGGACAGCCTCCCTGCCAACCTCGCCGCCGGATCTGAGCATTTCCAGCGGAGCGGCGCCGGCAGAGCGGAGTCGAGGAGGCGATCGCCGCCGCCGCCGGAGATATCGACCGCCGAGACCCTGGACCTCGCATCGCAGGACACCCCGGGCCAGGAGCAATGGTCGGACCCTGCGGAATCCCTCCACAGAGAGAGCAACCCTGTGGGATCGGACGAGACGCCGCTCTTGAACTGGAGCAGCGCCGCCCTCTCGGCCGCCGCGGGGTCCTGCTCGGCAGACGACAAGCAGATCGGAGCCAGCAAAATGAGGATGGACGCGAAGAGGGAGCAACGAGAAGAGATGGTCCCGAGGAGCCACCGGCGCCGCCTCATCGCCGCAGCTCTGACCGGAGGCAGTTTTCACGGGCGGAGAAGATCCACGGCCGGCGGAAGGAGGACAGGCCCCAAACTTACCTCCTTCCGCACCATGAGAGAGGAAAAGAGATGGAGAAGCAATTCGCGGCCGGCCGAGGATCAGGGAGAAGAAAGTGCGTTAATTCTTCTCTCTTCTGCCGGCGGCGCTGCCGTGCTTGCCCATCGGAGGGGACCCTATTTACTGCCCGTTCTCACCGCCACCTTCCCTCGGAAGAACTCCATACTTTTCCTCTACTGCGCCATCCGGTTTCTGCTGTCTCCTACCGGAGCTGCCGCCGCCGGCGACGGCGACCTCGCAGGCCCCACCGCGGTCGCAATCTCCTCCTCCCTCCCCTCCCCCCCACTCGGTAGTCCACCGATCATTGCCGTCCGTCTCAGATCCACCGATCATCCCTCCCTCCCACGGCGACCCCCAACATTAAATATCAGATTCCACTCTGCGTGGGGGAAAGGACAAGTGGCCCCACCGCTGTGGATAGATTTATTACTAGCCAAGTCATGTGGGCTCTGATATTTAGCATTATTAAACCCATCGGTTAGCTAGTAGTTTCTGCCCACATAATAAATAAATATCGATAATGCGAAGGGCCCCATCAGGGCTGTCAACGTCCTGGGCCCGCCCCCAGACTTCTCAAGCTCAAGCTCATCCGTATGTGAAGAGGCCAGCCAAAATAAATGCGGGCAACGTCGACAGTGAATGGGCTGAGGAGCCCGTGACCAAAGGGTGGGGCCCTCTCTGCGAGGCCTGGGGGAGGAGTTAGTCTCTGTACATACCGAGGGGGAGAGCTTCAGCTTGGAGATCTCCTCTAGGAGGTACCTTGTCTTGACTCGGTAGAGTCAACGGGGGACAGGACAGGGAACGGAGAGTGATCCTCTGCCTCCTCTCGCCGATGAACTCATGGACGGCCACGATGGCCCCGAACAGGTGGGGGATCCACGTCGCCTCCTTGAGCCTCATCTGTAACTTCTCGTCACCTTCCGGTCGAACCAGAGACGTAGCAGCAAAGAGTACGACCATCCATAATGGCGGAGAGCCGGAAAACCAGTCGGTCGTTGGCTAACTTATACCTCTGTTTTGACCATGTCGAGCTCGTCCGCTGAGCACCCGATGTTCTCCGCCTGCTCTTTGAACACGGAAAGCCAGTCTTCCCCCCGTCGGGTCCGAGACCTTCATCACCAGGATGTACCTGCGAGAATGTACACATTTAGAGAGAGAGAAAGAGAGAAAGATGATAATGGGGCGCGTCGTTCTCTGGCAGCCTTCGCAACAGAAGCCAGAATCGATGGTCTCGGTCACCTTCTTGTTGCAGGTCTTGTACGCCCGGTACCACATGGTCTGGTCGTGCTTGATGAGGCTCACGTAGGCTTTTACACTAAAATATACTGGCTGCCCATTTTAATGGCACAAAGATGCAGGTAAGCGGAAGAGCTTTTAAAGCGGACCGGTCTACCTGGTTTAGTACCTAAAAGAGTAAGTATTGCACCTTTTCTTGACCCAGAGTGGGATCTCCGGTGATGTGAGAGAGGGTGACCCGGTCTGAGTACATGGAGGCCGGGCTGTTCCTCGAGGAGGCGTTGACCAGGCCGGAACCGACAGAAGACATTGCGGCCTCCCTGCCTTCGGAATCGTACTTGTACATGAAAGAAACAGGCTGAGATTAGGCAGATTCCACTTTGAAAAGGTGAGATCGAAGGAGAGTTGGGTTGGAGGAGGATGCTCACCAATATCTGAGTGTCTTTGACTACGGCACGTTTGGGTGTATCAGCGCAGAGCTTTTGGTTATGAATGAGATGACTTTTCCTCTTTACATTCTTGTATGAATGTATATTTTTCTTATTTGTTACTTAAATCTTGTTAAAAAATAATAATTAAATACATGATCACAATAAGAATACAAACTCAATTTCTATATATCAATGAGAGTAAATAGAAGAGAAATCACTAAGTATGATGAATTATGATGATAATAAGTCTTCCACCAAAATACCTTTAATCCACATCTCAATGCCCTTGAGATGACCAACACACTATTAGGTAAACAATTGATTCTCTCTCCTTTTATACAAACTTCACCTGCAATAAAAGGAAAAAGAGAAAAACAAGTAAATAAATAAATAGATTTGATAGAAAAGAGAGAATAAAATCAAGTGAGAAAGAGAGATCTAAGAAAAATAAAGTATTCTTCATCTATCATCGTAAAAAAAGAAATACATACCTTATTTATAGAAAATGAAAAAAAAAATCACCAAAAAAAAAAACCATTGTCAACCTACGTGTGGGCAAGCCCATATATCTAGAAGGTGATGATTTCAATTATTATTTTTCACTTTCTTTCAATAGACAACCCCTAAATGGGTCAGTAAAGATAAGGTAGCATTCTCCACCACTCCTTGCACATCTCTCAAATGAGTTAGATAGGATGAGACTCCTCGTACATCTTCTAAACAAGCCAGACATGGTGGATTAACATGACCAACAAACTCTATTTTGACAGCCATCATTGGTACACCTAGAGTTGTCGTCTATTCATCTTATAAGTTCTTCATCCTTTATAAGATTCCTACGACATGAATCAAAATCAAATAATATTTAAACTTTTCCATCGCGACGACTTTCGTCAATATATTCGTAGCATTATCTTCTATGTAAACCTTCTCTAGAAAGATATCTCAAGAATTCATAAACTCACGGATCTTATGATATCACAGATAAATATGTTTCCACCATACATGATATACCTAATTCTTTGTCAAGCACATAACACTCTCTATCATAATGTAAAAGAATTTCACCTTGTTAAATCTCAAGTTCGCTTAACAACTCCTTCAATTACAAGACCTTCTTAGCCGCTTTAGTAGTTACTATGTATTCTGCATTAGTCGTAGACAATACGACAATAGTCTATAGTGTAGACTTTTAACTCACAAGTCCATCAATCATAGTGAAAACATAACCTATCATAACTCTTCAATAATCTAAATCTTTGGAAAAATCTATATTAACAAAGTCAACAATAGAAAAATAATTTTTTTAGTCAAAATGGATTCTAAAATTTAAGAAACTTTCTAGATATCAAAGAATCTACTTCAGTATATTTCAATACTCTTTTCTTAAATTATTTATAAATTTACTCACAAACATAATTACATGAGTAATATTTAGTCTTGTACATACCATACCATACATATGAAGTCAATTACACTAACATAATAAATTTGTTGTATCTTATTATTATCTTCTTCAAATGTTAGACAATGAGTAGTAGATAATTTGAAATGACTAACGAAATAAATACTCACTACTTTAATATTATTCGTACTAAATATATCCACTGTCTTCAAAAGATAATTCTTTTGAGTCAATCATAGTTGACCTAACTCTTAGTCTCTATAAATCTTCATACTAAAAATCTTCTTTATTACATCAAGATTCTTCATGTCAAATTTTCTGTTCAATTATATATTTAATCTAATAATCTCATATAAATTATTTGAAGTAATGAATATATCATCAACATAGAGCATCAAAATAATTTAAAAATTATCATCACATGTCTTCATATAAACATAACTATCAAAATTGTACCTCATGCAACTAATTTTCAACATGTAAAAATCAAACTTCTTGTACCACTATCTCGATACCTACTTCAACTAAAAAAAAAACTTCTTCAATTGACAGATAAAATATTTTGACCACTGCACAACAAAACCTTTTATTACTATATATAAATTATTTCTTATAAATCTCCATAAAGAAACATAATCTTCACATCATGATACTCAAGTTTCATATCTTCATGTATGACAACAACTAACATTAAACGAATAAATGTATGCTTCACAATAGGTGAAAATATATGTATAATTAATTCTATATTTTTGTGTAAAGTCTTTTACAATAAGCCTTGTTTTATACTGTGGTTGGTCACCATTAATCATCAGTGACTTCTTCTGATACATTCATTTGTATTCAATAATTCACTTCCATTCAAGAAGATCTACTAATTTTTATGTATTGTTCTTGTCTAAATATGTTTATTCTTCTAATATTGCATATAGTCACTTCTTCTTTTCATGTCGATTCATTACCTCTCGAAAGGTTATAGGTTTAATATCTTCTGTAAATAACATAAAAGTAGCATAATAATTAAGAAAAATAGGAGGCCTTACTTTATGTCTATTTTGTCTAATAATAATACAATCAGAAACATCTAATGATTCTGTGACTCAATCTCAACTCCTAACAAAATTAAAAGGACTGCACAATCTTCACCTCTAACTTTGTTTTGTCTCTAACATAAGTATCATCAAATTTCTAAACTATATGTTCTATAGAGAATAACTTTAATGTATGATTTTTATTAAAGATCACATTCCTATTAAAAATAATCTTTTTTATTTCTAAATTCTAAAGTCGATACTTCTTCACACTAATGCTATAGCTCAAGAAAATGTATTTTCTTAATTTTAAATCTAACTTTGATTTGTCATCAACAAGAGTAAGAACATATCTTAGACATCTAAATATGTACAAATTCAAATAATAAATAGAGTTTTTAATTCATACATCTTTGATCACCTTTCTATTAAAAGTAAAATTTGATGATTTATTTATCAAATAAATTGTCATACTCACATTTTTTGTCGAAAGTTCTTTAAGTTAGTCGACATTTAATCACAAAACAATATGTTTTCTTAGTAATCATGTGGTTCATCTACTTAACAACATTATTTTATTAGAGTCTTCTTCACTATATAGTGACATTGAATGTCATACTCATTATAAAATTGATCAAATTTAAAATTCTCAACTTATGTATCATTATCAATCACAAGACTCTAATCTTCTTCTTTGTCTTATTCTTCACTTTCTCACACTAAGTCATTGAACTTCGCAAATATTTATGACTTATGCTTTAAGAAAAATACTTACACTTTCTTGAAAAAATTATTAA